TGATTAGATAGGGGGCAAAAGCACGACAAGCCTACCCATCATCAAAGCAAGCCCAAGTCTATGCAAGAAGGCCAAGGTCCTGTCCTCCGGATCTATCAAAATTCAAAGAGTTGGGCTACATAAAAGATCCTATTCTGAAATGGATATAGGCTTAACTAAATCCCAATGCCAAGCAACGCCCTAGACTACAAGTGAAGAAATAGGGTTCCACTAAGCCCTTAACCCGACAAAAGATGCATTTTTGCTTTTTTTTTTCCAGAAAAGCTCCTTGCTTGACCAAGGGCCCACTTAAACAGAAGGAGCTCGCAGAATACTTCAGGGCTGGAGTGAAGAGCCAGCACCAGTCAGGAACTGTATAAAAAAGGACCGAGAACTACATACAGTCTGAGACTAACTTCCTTGAGAAGAGGGAGACAAGTAATGTAGGTTGTGGCCGTTCCAGAAATGTAGCAGTAGCTCGACCAAAGCCGGTCAATAAGACAGATCCGGATCCTAGTGCTTTCGAGATGGTTCGATCGCTAACAAAGACAAGCATGGGAAACTGCAGACTCCCACAACTCCAAGAGCTCAAGCCTAAAGCCTTAGTAACGCGCATCCTCATTCATTACTTGCGTAAAGCAAGCGTATAAGGTTTATTGATGGACATTCCTATACGTCTTTTAGATTTGCTTGTGTCGAACCTAGGAAACCTCTACTATTTTGTATTAGGACGCAGGCCATCTTATCCCAGTTTTTTTGAATTGGTTTCAAAAGAATTTCCTAATTAATTTAGATAGTTTGATTGAGACGGATCAGCTCCACGAATAGTAGACAGGGGAAGGAACAACAATTAGATAAAAGAAGAAGGCTAGCTATATGCTGAACACAGGCCTGTTTTCGCTTCCCCTTTAATCCTTGAACTTCAGGTAACAGCATAAAGAATCTCTTAGTTTTAGACTAAAGGGTTCGTAAGAGCTACTTACCTTGCCTCAATCCCTATTAGTTAGTCGGGGACTGGTCCTTCCCTCGATATTACGCTCTTTTTTTTTCACGAGTTAATTTATCCGCCTACTAGCTGTACAGGAAAAGGAAAGTCTACTTACGAGATTGACCGACTTGCTTCCAAGCCGAGTTCCTTCCTTCGGTAGAGGAGATAGGGCTGCTAGAAGAAGAGTTCACCACTATCTACGCAATTCTCTAGCTTCATTCTTTTGATAATATTCCATTTCAGAGTGATGCTCGCACCACTACACTCACTCATTCCATCGACGGGAGAAGAAAGAGGTTCAATCCATAGGCGAGGTGGAGACTTCGGTATAGGGTCGCCTGTTCGGCGCGCTATTGCTCTTTGGATCCTTTACTTTAGTTCATCATTTCTTTGCAACTCTATTGATCAATCTCCTCTCGTTATCGGTCAACCTTCAAGACTTGCTTACGATAGGAGGGACTCGAAAGGCTAATCCGTGAAAGACGAAAAATGAATTCCAGTCCCAATAGATCAAGCTGAGGTAGTAGACCAAATCGTCTATCAACGTCCTCCACTTACTCCACTAGGTTGGCTAGAGCCTTGTTACTATAGTTCACGCTACTGAGATCATCGTTGATTGGGAGAGAGAAAGCTTTTGTGGGATCCTGAGCCAGCAACATTCTTGTTTTAAAAGACGTATAGGCAATTCTTTATTATGATCATATGGATCGCTTTTCGTTACTTTTCTTTCCATAGGCATACATTGCAGTCTAACCAGCTTTCTTATTTTAGGGGACCGAGAATCCTTCTTTTGATCCCCCTCGAGCCTACTATCGTCTTTCGAATTAAGCTTCCGATTTAGTTGGTGCAGACGCTGAAGGATCAGCTGACACTAGATAGGAAAGGCTTTCGATCGAGATGCTCTCGAACCTATTCCGAAGTCAGTTTAGGATTCGGTTGGTGTTCCGGCATCCTGAATCGAGGTGGCTCTAAACTCAGGTTTACCTACCTCTCTAGTTAAAGAGAGAAGATAGGGCTTTGAAATCTCATTTCCTCTCCTAAGTGCTTGCTGGTTCCGGACTCCCTATCTTGGTTGGGTGTCATTTCCAGAGGAGTTGGACTGCTTTCCACTGATAGTATCCAACAAGGAGTGAAGAGAGGGAAAGTTATCTCTAGCATATATTTCTTTAACGAAATCCATCTTTCTTTTGATATCAATTGAACATAGGCTTAGTTGTGTGACTCATATCCACCAATGGATCAAGGGTAGGTTCTTAAAAGGCCTTCGAAAGGAAACTCCTGCAAATCCTGGAAGGAGAAAAGTGTACCCTTGAGTTAAAGCGCGCCCTTGGTCCTATTGCAACTGCTTCTGATTCACTTGCTAACAGCGCTAGTCACCTCTTGACTTAGTAAACTACCCCATTCGTAGTGTCAAGCCTTCCCTTCCTCTACTGCTGGTCGACTAGACTAAGTCAACTTGCTCATGGAAAGGCAGGAGCCTGGAAGCCAGGAAGAACGAGCCCTTAAATTCTTCTATTCTGACTTCCTCTACCAAATGAGCATAGAAAGAAGGGTAGACGCTCCTTTAGCCATCAATCCATAACGAGACTTACGTGATCCTATCTCTCTTATAGAGAGGGCGAGAAAGAGCTCCATTGAGCGCCAACTCTAGCATTCACACTAGAATCTACTTCCAACCTTTAACACTTGGTCGAGCAAGTCCAGAACTAGGCCCTTAACAGAACCAGGACTAGCCCTTTAGAGAAAAGAGAGCAAGATCCCTTCATCGGAAGGAAAGAGGAGAACGAGGACAGCTGAATACCGCTCCTGCCTTCTGGTACGAGTTTCAATAGGCATAACTTTCATTAAATGGATTAGCCTACCATTTTCCTAAGGGCCTAAAGTTTAGATAGAAAAGTCCGCTATTTCTATTCATAGAGAATCCATCCTCAAACTAGAGTTCAACTCCGTCATCCAATCTTAAGATGTTAGGTTCTTTTTAAATTTAAGAAAGCATGAAAAAGGAGGAAAGATAGTCATAAAACACAAGTAAGGTAGCATTTCACCAGCTTAAATTTGAACTAGGTATGGTAGATCCCTAGCTAAGGGAGACTTCCTCTTTTCACGACGAATTGCACGACTAAGCCCCTTGAGCACTTTAGCAAAGGACTTACTTTTAGAGAGGGTGCGTTATAGGGTGATGGAAGAGCTATTGATAGCTATCGTGTACTTGCTTTCTCTTCTTTCTTTTTGAATGACAGTTCATCAAAACAATTGCTAGATCGAGCACGCGACGCGCATAGTCTTAAGTTCAAGAGCGGGTTGTCTCCTCTTCAACATTTCTACTACTTCCTTGCCTCCCCTTTTCAGAGATCTCCTTGTTCTCTTCCCATATTTTCCTCTACACTTTCGCCGCCTTCTTCATCATGCTGTTGCATCCTTCAGGGATGTTCGGTAGGTGTCCGGGCTTCCTAAAAAATCCTTCCGGCAATAATGTTGCTTGAACATTGTAAGACATTGAACCGTCTCACTCTTGTGAACATGGATCATAAGTGGAAAAAGCCGCCGGAATCCTAATGGATTGTCCATAAGCTCTCCTCGCTACTGTAAAAATTGAAAATTTCTTTTTATACACTGGCGCAAATGATTGCCCCTAAGGCACCGATGGACCAACGCCTTCGTCTATCACCCGAATTTTTAGTAGTAGTGCCAGATCAAGCAGAGAGCGCTTTTAAGGAACGAAGTCATTTGAGTACTATAGTAGGTAGAGGTAAACTTCGTTCTAAAGAGGTATCCGACTCAACACAATCAGTCACTTAATAGGGCTTCTCACATTGGTCCGCGGCAAAGAAAGAGCAAACCAGGCAGAAACTAGATATGCTATTAAACACGGGGGGACCTCCCGGGCTTTTTATTCCATAATAAGCCCTACCTACTAGTATAGTACTAGGATCAGGATTCATGTTCGTGTTCCAGAATGGGCAGCTAAAGCCTTTCTTTGAACCTTAGACTCATCTCTCAATCCACTTCAACTATGTGTTTCATTTTCTCCGGATTCAAAACCAAATAAAAAGACGTCCCGATCGATAAAGATAAACATAAAGAAGCGTGGAAAAAGGCTCTACAAATACTCACTAATTAGATAGGATAGGCCCAATCACTATTCAATATTGGAAGCAAGCATTACGGCCAGTAAGACAACCAAAACTATGCTTCCCAAAAAGACTGCAACGTTCGGATTACTTGACTCCTGCTCACCAACACTATGACTATTGCTTGCTTCAATGACTCCCGAATCATCATAGATAGAAAAAGTCATGTCACTCCAGCTCGGCGAATCAATCGCAAGTCCCAAACCAGAAAAAGAGGCAGAGTGAAAGGAAAGGTCGGATAATGGGCTACATGTTGGAATGCCTCTAAGGAGGAACTACACTGGCATTTGATAATCGAAAAAGCAAACCAATTCAAATACAAGGCTTTTGATAGAGCCCTTTACAGGAGGAGATGCTCAGGGCGCGATAAAGCTCGTCACGAGACCGAGAAAGCTCATCGACGAAATGTGTCACGTAGTCTTGATTTCTCAGTTAATAATTATGAATATCTCCCATAGATTGAGACTTATAGATTTCAAGTAAGGGAGGCCTGCCTTAAGATTAACAACAGGTCGGTCGATATCGGTACTGGTTCAGCCTGTGAGGGATTCATTCAGTAAGGGAGGGGGCTCTAAATCCGCCTAGGGGAGAGAATAAAAGTAAGACCTTTGAGCACTCAAGATGAGAAGAATCCCGCTGTCCTGTCTCATTCCCATTCTCTTTGAAGCACAGATCTCATCTCTTTTCAATGCAAAATAAGGGCATTTATCTCAAGTTAGAGAGGGCAAACACACACCTATCTAACGTCAGTTTCGCTGTACTGGCATTTCGCTCTCATCGATGGAACAAAAAGATTTAGTTGACTGAATGACTGGTCTAGGGTGAGAATAGCATGTGTTCTCTTCAAACTAGGTTTTCATGGGCGGGCTATTGAGAAGAATGAGGTTCTCATATCAGAATCCCTATTCAAACGAGGGTAAAAGGATTGGCGTTGGTTGGATGTATTTACCAAAATAGGCCAATCCTTTTTTTGAAATACCCGCATAGAAATAGGCTACTGACGTAAGTAAAGCTAATGCAACAGTAGTATTTATATCATTTGTGGCTGCAGCTAACTCTCCATGAGGTAACTTTATAATTTTCCAAGGCAAAAGTGTCCCTGACCAATTCGAAACAAAAATAAATAGAAACAGAGTTCCAATAAACGGAACCCATGGACCATATTCTTCTCCAATCTGAGTTTTGCTCACGTCTCGAATGAATTCAAGGACATATTCAAAGAAATTCTGACCAGACGTGGGAATAATTTGTGGATTTCTAACAACTAGAATGGTTGAAATTAATAAGATAGCAATTACAACCCAAGAGGTAATAAGTACTTGAGCATGCACTTGAAAATCCCCTATTTTCCAATAGAAATGTTGACCTACTTCCACAGCAGATATATCATATAATCTGTTTAACATGTTGATGTAACATAATAGAACATTCATATTGCCCTCTAAAATAAAAAAAGATAACTTGAAAGGGAATTATTTTGATTCAACCATTTCCTTATTTTACTTGGATGTTCCATTTGGAATACCTACTAATCCAAAAATATTTCTTTTTACACAATTTTGTAATGCTATAATAACCAATTCCAAAAATTTATCACCGCCCAACCAAATCTAAAAATGGATTTATCTTATTATTAATCAAAAATTTTGTATCTAGCTATAACGAGCCTCACAAATTGCAAAAACTAATTTGTTAAGAATGAATCCGATGGAAGCCATAGTATCATCATTAGCCGGAATCGGCAAATCCGCAAGATCGGGGTCACAATTTGTATCGATTACACAAATTGTTGGAATTCCCAAAGTGATACATTCTTGAAGAGCCTTATATTCTTCTTCCTGATCAAGGATTATTACAATATCAGGTAACCCTGTCATATATTTTATACCTCCTAGATATGTTTCCAAATGAGCTAATGGCCTCTTCAACATAGCGACATCTCTTTTTGGAAGAGAGTTCAGTTTCCCCGTCTTTTGCTCCGTTCTCAAGTCCCTGAACTTACGAAGTCTCGTTTCTGTAGTATACCAATTCGTTAACATACCTCCGAGCCATTTTTTATTAACATAATGACATCGAGCTCTTATTGCAACCCGTCTTACTGAATAGGCAACTTTTCTTTTGGTACCAACAATTAAAAATTGTTTTCCTTTGCTTGCTGCATCAAAAGCCAAATCACAAGCTTCTGATAAAAAACGAGCAGTTTTAGTAAGATTTGTAATATGATTACCTTTACATTTTGCCGATATAAAAGGTGCCATTTGAGGATTCCATTTCCTAGTCTCATGGCCAAAATGAACCCCAGCTTTCAGCATCTCTTCCAAAGTTATGTTCCAATATCTTTTTGTCATTTATCCCCACACTTTGTTTAAAAAAAAAAAAAAAAAAAAAGAGACCGAGTATCCTAATAAATAATTGTTCCGATGGAACCTTCTCTTTTATAGACGATCGACCGTTAATATAGAATCAGGTCATTCTTTGATTTCTATTTCTTATTATTTTTTAATATACTTTAATTACCAAATCCAATGACTGCATTTAAATATTTCAGGGGATGGATGAGTCGAATCCGCTGTTAGGAAGCATTTAATACTATATTTAATCCTATATTTCGAATGTATCACATAAATTCTCTGAAATGAGAAAAATTAAATAATTTTCTGTGATGGAACAAAAGATTTCTAATTTCGACTTCGAATAATTTTTTTTCCGGCTAATCTTGTTATGTTGCCTTGACCATGAACGGTGCATTATTCTTTTGAATCTGGTACCAACGGGTATCATTCCCCCTAAAACAACATTCTCTTTAAGACCTTTCAACCAATCAATACGACCCCGAAAAGCGGCTTTTGCTAAAACTCTAGCAGTTTCTTGAAAACTCGCTTCGGATATGAAACTTTGAATATTCAGAGATGTTTTTGTTACTCCCAATAATAAAGCTCGGTAACAAATGGCTTCTTCCAAGGCACGCCCCGTTCGTTCTGCTCGCAATAATCCAATTAGTTCGCCAGGTAAAAATACATTAGACATTCCATCTTCTGAAACCAAGACTTTGGATGTTATTTGACGCACAATAATCTCGATATGTCTATTATCGATGTGTACTCCCTGGGATCGATAAACCTTTTGGATTTTATTAACCAAAGAAATACGACTTTGAGCTATAGTTAGCTTAGCACCAATCAAGAATCCCCAAGGAATGCCGAGAATTTTTGTTATACACTCGTTCCAAGTATCAATTCTTTTTTTTAGATTCATGGATATTGAAGCAATCAAACATATTTCGAATATCTGTTCCACTTTTGGAAGACCTTGTGTTATATCACTGGATCTCGATTTTTCATATGGGAATGTAACTAAAATATCTCCTTGAGAAAGGATCTCCCCATAATGGCCGTGAATGGTTGATTCTGGAGTCGCCAAATAAGGATTAGCCGATCTTATTATTACAGAATCCATTTGAACTGTTATAACTTGACCCGATTTTAATTTTAGGTGTGGTCCATTTTTCATTTGAGCTATACATATATTTTCACAAATAAATTGTCCAAGACTTATTATTGGAAACGTTTTTTCACAAGAAAAATAATGGAGAAAAAACCAATTTAAATGGAATGGATTCAAAATGATATTACTGTATAGATCGGGTTTACAAATTTTCTCATTTTTGTCCATGAAATAATATTTCAATACTTGAAAAATTTCCTTTAATTTGTCAAGTTGCAAAATTTTTATTATTGAGATCTGATTATGAGTTATTAAATGATAAAGTGAATATAAATTTGCAACTATTCCTAAAGGGCCAAACGAATTATTATTCTTCTTAATTGAAATTATAGGATCTTTTTTTATCCCATTGTGAGATTTTACATTGTTGAATGGTCTCATTTGAAAACAATTAGATGATGACAAAATTATCCAAGATCAACATTCTTTATTTCTATTCAACAACATACGAATAGTTCCGTGATTTTGGCTAAGTGATTGTTGAATTTTTCCCTTCGAATGAATAGAAAAAAATGGATTGATTCGATCCGATTTATTATCCCCAATCAATCCTAAACCAGATGGGTCATTTCTTTTTCTGATATATGAAGTATTCGATTTTACTAAGTCAATTCTTAGAAAATACTCAATCAAACCATTTCTACTTACTTCAATAAAGGAAGCGGGGGCCTCCTCAATCGAAGAACTTTTTTTGCCGTCATCCCAATGGAAGACTAAACAAGTCCGAAGGAATGGAATCCTTGTGTCGGAAATTTCCCGAATGGATTTTCCAATAGAATTGACAACTTTTAGTTCCAGATTATCCTTTTCCTGGAATAGATCTTGGGGATAAAGTTTTACAAAAGGGATAGTGTCCGGTATTTCATCTGTACTCCATTGCAGAGAATGGTGGGGATAGATCATGGCCAAGGACGGGTGTATGTGAACTATCCAGGGTAAGATTGAATGAACCAATGAGTCGGTACCACATGCATGGTGTTGAGTTGCATAATTGCATTATGGTGTGTTGTGTTGATGTTGGACAGTAGGTCGTGTTTGATGAATGTTGGGTGATGAATTATAATTACAATCTTTATTTCATGTATCTTATTACCGATAATTTTGATCATGATTTCTCACCCCTTTGTTGTTGTTGTGGTCTTTGCTTCCTCGGAAGTACAGACAATCCAGGTACTTAGCTAGCTTGGATAGAGGTGTGCGAGTCGAGTCTTGGGATGCTCTGATACGTAGCACGGGACTTGGGCATTTTCTTTTGATTTAGTTGAACTTGTTTTACTTTCCTGTGACGTATCATGTGTTGGTGAATTTTATTAATGAATATTTTCATGTATTGGCGGATGGTCGAGGTTGATGAACTAATGAACATTTTCCGCGGCTTTGTTTTGAAAACCTTCTAATGATGAGTATGTTGAATTATGTGATGTGATATCCCACTTTAGTGGAGAACTCTGATGTTTAATTGAATTAATCGCATATTATTTTAATTCGGGAAAGTGGGGTGTTACATTCTTCCTCTTCTTCTTCATCTTCGTTACTTTCTTCTTCACTTTCATTGGATTCTACTTCATCCCGACGAGCAGTTGTTTTGCCAAAAAATTTGTACCGCATTTGATCTTATGATCAGAAGTATCCCATCATGGAGAGAGTTTTCTGACAAAACTCTTGATCTAAAGTAATTGATGTGTACGGAAAATCTGGAAATACAACCTCAACACTCATAAGGATCGCTTGGATGAATGAGCCATACACGAGAGCGGTACCCTAACCGGAATCTCTTAGAGCATACATCCTACTAGCAATATAGTAGGGCCAGTTAATCTTAATTTTGTTCCGCAAAAGATACATCAAATGAACTTCCGCTTGCTCTACACGAGAAAATCCTCCTTTCTTGGGCCGCAGAATGCGCGCCACTATCCACTGCAGTATTCTATCTCCTGTTTTCCACTTTCTGGTGGTGACGGTTTTTGGAAACACATCGCTTGCCACAATATGAGGTGTATATGGATTTTTCAACATGGAGTTCAAGGCAATTTTAAAATCATAGCCAACCATTTTTTGTGCATCAGTGACCTCATAAAGAGCTTTGTCCTCATCAACATCCAAATTAAAATACTTTCTCCAAACAGCAGGAGTAAGACTAACCTTAGTGGAACCAATCTGAGTGTGGAATTGAGAACCCCAAAATTTGTCGTGAATGCATGTATAGAAGATACTGACTAGTTCTTCACTATATTTCTCATTGCATTCCAAGAAGTTGTTGATACCTTAAAAATCCAGAAGAGAGATAATATGAGTGAGGTGCATGCGCTCCGCCGAGAGTCTATAGTATGCGTGTTGCTTAACCACAGCCCTTTTAGTAAAGTTCTTGGTGAAGCTTTCAGTGAATGTTGGTGGAACTAATGACACTACGGTAACCGGAATGGAGGCGGATAAGGAGGCCCTTGAGGTTCTTTTACCTGTTACTTTTCTAGAAGCCATGGATGATGATTTGAATGAGATGATAGGAGAGATAAATTGATGGTAATATGCAAGATTTTTAGAGGATTAGGAATGTGTGGAGAGAATGAGAGATTTGCACCCTTTTAGATAGGCTAATTAGGGTTTTGGGAAAGGGAAGAGGACTAGGTACTAGGTGAGGTAGATGCAAGTAACAATGTATATGGTATAATGCATAATTAATGAGATGACAAGAATTTGAAATCATGAGAATATTGAACGTTTTTGAAAAAACATTTCAGAATTTTCGCGCGATACGTCGACCGCTCCTCTGTATGCGTCGACGCATACTGTGTTAAATTTGAGAAATTTAAATGTTTACATGTGTGCGTCGACCGTACCCTATTTCGGTCGACTCATGCAGACAAAATTTGCAAATTTCATGTTTATGCACATATAAGCAACAAATGATACATAAATACATAGCCACAAT